TGCACATCCTTCTAGTTGCTGTATGTGGGACGCGGCCTCAGCATGGCCGGAGAAGCGGTGTGTCGGTGTACGCCCGGGATCCGAACCCGGGCCGCCAGTAGCAGACCGCCCGCACTTAACCGCTAAGCCACGGGGCCGGCCCATCAACAAAGATTTAATTGCTTTGTGTTGTCTTGCTCAATCTAATTTACCCTAACAATTACATTTTGCCAAAACAGCATTATAATTTACAAAGCAAGTTGTTCAGTCCTTATTTTTGAGGAGTAACACTGACTCCAATATCAATCAAACTGAGGACAGCTGTTTAGAAGAGCTAAAATTTAATAACAATCACAATACCTTAGTAAATGTTTCATGTTATTTTTCAATTTTAAAAAGACAGAAATAAAAGATATGGGAAGGGAAAAAGTATGTATGTCAGATTGTCTACTTTTTTGACCCAAACACCTTAAGAAAGTATTTTATAAAATACGAGGAAAACTCTATTCTCCTTCTTCCATGTGAATACTGTCTTTGGTTTGACACCTAATTATAATTTTGACATTTACCGTCACTAATATTAGTAGAGGAAATCACAGTTGGGTAATTTGGTAAAGGAAATGCAGGCAGGAGAAAGGAGATTAAATGAGTGCTTCAGAAGGAGACAGGCCTGGGATCAAATCTCAGTTCTGTCTCCCACTAGTTTTATGGCCTTGGGAAAGGCCCTAAGGCAGCACTCGTAGGGCCTATTGTAAAGATTAAGGAGATAGTCTGTGGAAACCTCCCGGCACACTGCCAGCTCTTTTCCCTACCATCCTCCACATACAGGGCTTGAGGTACTCGTAATTACATGCCACATATATTCTCTTCATGTTCACATTGACTTCAACCAACAGCTACTGTGGAGCTTCTATGAGCACCAACCATAGTTCCTGGCACTGTAGTGAGGGCAACTTGCTGCATGATTCAAAGAGGTATGAAAAATAAGCCTTGGGTTTTTGCCTTAAAATATCTGACTATTTGAAAGACATTTATCCAGATCAGAACTACCTCATTTCTTTGCTTTTGTTTTGCAGAAAAGAACACTGCCCCTAGCATCAGGGGACATGGTATTATTTGTCCATTTCATGGTCACAGCTGTATGACCTGAGGCACAAGAAAATGAGACGATTTGTCTACCTTTTCTTACTGTAAAATTTAAACAAAAGGACTTATATGGACCTTTTCAGTTTTAAACTTCCATGATGCTAAGATTTGCCTGGTTGGAAATGAAACCAGATCTTATTTCTGGAACTACTCATCAAGAGTGGGAAGCAAGTGACCAAAGACTAAATTATGTACCTGAAAGGTGACAAGCAATAGTTCAAATGATTTTAAGTACAGAAAACAGAATTCTCCTTAAAATATACATAACCGTGTGTTGTGGGTTGAATTGTGTCCCCCAAGAAGATATGTTTAATTCCTAATTCCTGGTACCTGTGAATATAACCTGTTTTGGAAACAGGGTCTTTGCAGATGTAATCAAGTTAAGATGAGGTCATACTAGATTAGGATGAGCCCTAATCCAATGACTAGTGTCCTCATAAGAGGAGGGAAATCTGTACACAGACACAGAGGGATCATGGCTATGTGATGATAGAGACCGAGACTGGAGTTATGCTTCTACAAGCCAAGGAAAGCCAAGGAATGCTGGCACTCAGGGGCAAAGAACAAATAAGAAATGTGAGTCTCTATCCTCAAGGAACTTAAAAATCTAGAAGAGACAATCATGTAAGTAACTACATGAAAACAAGGGGGCAAGGCAGAATATAGAGGGCAAGAGAGGAAACAGGAAAAATTCCTGGAAGAAGCAGTATTTGAACTAGCGAAGTTATGAAGGATGGCAAGGATTAGACATGTGATGATGAACGGGGAGAGTCACTGCAGACTAAGGGCACAGCACAAACACAGAGAGTCAAACGGTACAAAGTCAAAGTCTTGGGTGGCTGGAGTATGTCTACTGCAGAAGAATTACACAGGAAATGAGGCTGCAAAGACGTTCAGGACTACTTGTGGAGGACCTTGATTGCTATGCCAAGGAATGTATGTTGTTCTACAAGCAGTGGTGTGCCATTCCAACTTTCTGAGAAAGGGAATGACAAGACCTGACCTGTGTTTTAGGAGAGAACTAAAGCTGCTTGAGAAAACCATTTTCAGGGCAAAGGGAGAGGTGGGACTGATTCGCATACCCAGGGCTCAAGGAGTCACGGCTAATAGGGGTGAGAACAGTAGCTGTATGATTTGTTGTAGGGTGATTTGCTATGTCCTCTAAGACCAGCTCTAGTGTTGATGTTTGGTTCCTCCCTTGAACTTTTACAGGAATCACACTAGAAGTGGGCTCAAGTACGCCCAGGTTGA